GTGTCGTTTCTCAGCGTCTCCCCCAGGTCTCCCCCAGGTCTCCCCCTATGTCTCTCCCCCTGTCTCTCCGCGTCTCTCTGCGTCTCTCACCGCGTCTCTCCGTGTAGCGTCTCTCAGCGTCTCCCCCAGGTCCCCCCCGTGTCTCCCCCCTGTCTCTCCGCGTTTCTCCCCGCGTCTCTCAGTATCGTCTCTCAGCGTCTTCCCCGTGTCTCCCTGTGTCTCCCTGTGTGTCTCCCCGCGTCTCCCCGTATCTGACCCAGGTCTCCCCTGTGTCTCCCCCACGTATTCCCCCAGGTCTCCCCGTGTCTCCCCCGTGTCTCCCCCAGGTCTCCCCGTGTCTCCCTTTGTCTCCCCCCGTGTCTCCCCCGTGTCTCCCTGTGTCTCCCCCAAGTCTCCCCCTACCCCCGCGTCTCTCCCCACTCAGCACTCCTCTCTGTGTCTGTGGGATGCGGGGCGGACAGACGACGGTGGTGGTGGTGGCAGCCCACAAGCTCACAGCCCGACGAGCTGAGAACGCAAATAAAGAAATAATTCCCGCACGAACTTCTATCCGTGACCCCGGGGGAACGAGCGGCGGTGGCGGTGATGGGTGGAACCAGATTTGGGTGGAGGAGAGCAAAGCCCCGGGTATTTTGATCGCGTCGATCTCTCTTCCTGTAGCAAACAACACGCAATGCTGAGAAATAAACATCGCCTCTCTGTGGCTGTGTGTGTGTGTCCTGTCTGTGTGTGTGTCTGTCTGTGTCTGCCTGTGTTTCTGCCCGTGTCTGTGCGCTTGTCTGCATGGGATCGTTGAAATGCGGTGTTTTCTTTCTGGAAGACTTTGCCGTTTTGCCCAGGATTTTTCTGTTGCGCGTAGTTCACTTTAAGATGTTTCTTGTTCATGTTTTTGTTTTGTCGCGGTTGATCCCGAGTCAAGAGCCGCGTGGCTCTCAGGGTTATACCTGAAACTGAAAACTGAAATGTCTGTCTGTATGTCTGTGTGTGTCTGCTTGTCTGTATGTCCACTTGTCTGTATGTCTGTGTGTGTCCGCGGAGCGCCGGGTGGCTAAAGCACAGCAACTTGGCACAGTCGGGGGCACAGGTGGTGCATCAGCCACTCGTCTCACTCATCTCAGTCAGTCGACCCGTGGGACCTGCTGGGTCTGCCCCGTGACCTTCTGCCAGCGGGCGTTCGACACTTCACGTGGCCTCAAGGTGCATATGGCCTGGCACAAGCGTCGTGGTGACATCACCGCTACTTAGTGGCGAATGGCGGTTGTTGTTGTCCGCTTGTCTGCGCCCGTGTCTGCCCGTGTCTTTCTGCCCACCTGTCCCTCAGCCCATCCGTCTGTCCGCATGTCCTGCCCTGTCCCTTTATCTGCCCGCGTTCACATCTTGCCACCCACCAAACCACCCGACCGGGCATCGCGAGCCAACCGTGCTGCTACGCTCTAACAGCACTTGCTTCCCGTGCAGCCTCTTTACAAAGGCTATACGGGGGACCTTTGCTTTTGCACGTAGCAGTGACCTCACCCACGCCCCCTCCCCGTTGGCTGTAAATTAGAACACCCATATCGCGTCCCTGAGATAATGAGCCTCACTCATCCATCCCCAAGGAATCCCCAAACTCCCCGGTCAGCGTGCTGGCGATGACCCCCAACTTGCTGAACCCCCTCACAGCGCACGCGCGTACAGACACACAAAGATCAAAGATCCCCCGTGTAGCCTGTAACAGACTGTAGGGGCAAGTGCTGTTAGCGAGCACCTATGAAGGCCTGCACGGCACACGAGGGGGTGGGTGGCCAACACCACGCCCGGCCGCCTTTGTTTCTCCAATGGCGATGTTTACACATCGCACCAGGTACTTATTTGAGGCTGAGTCGACCTAGGGGAGGCTCAGGACCGATTCATACAATCGTCACTGATGTTGGCCGTGAACGGGAATCGAACCCGGGTTGCCAGGTTTGTAGCGCAGCACGCTAACAGCTACACTACCACTCCCCACACTCACACGCGCGTACAGACACACAGACACACTCACACACGCGTACAGACACACAGACACACACACGCACGTACAGACACACAGACACACTCACACACGCGTACAGACACACAGACACACTCACAGACACACAGACACACACGCGCGTACAGACACACACACTCACACGCACGTACAGACACACTCACACGCGCGTACAGACACACAGACACACACACACTCACGCGCGTACAGACACACGCACGCGCGTACAGACACACAGACACACACACGCGTACAGACACACAGACACACACGCGTACAGACACACAAACACACTCACACGCGCGTACAGACACAGACACACACACGCGTACAGACACACAGACACACATACACGCAAGCGCTCGGGAACCGCGTTATAACGAGCATGCGTTTCGTGTTATAACGGCCGCGCGTTCCGCGCTATAACGGGCATGCGTTCCGCGTTATAACGGCCGCGCGTTCCGCGTTATAACGGATACGCGCGAAAAGTATTCCCCAGGGTGGGAGGGTGGTGGGAGTGGAGGGTGTGGAGGGTCGGTGGGTCGGTGGGTGGGGGAAACCGCGTGGGATTTTACGATGGGCGGATGAAGTGCAAGGAGTTGCCATGTCCCCTCAAGGCGCCCGTGGGTTCGTGAAGCCGAGAGAGATAGAGATGGGGGGCAGAGAGTCAACAACACAAAAATATCCCCGCGGAATTTAATTCATCCCCTGGGGATCGGTGGCTGTCACGTTTGCGTGTTTTTTTGGGTGGTGGTGGTGTTGCTGATGTTGCTGTTGCTGGGTGTTTTTGATGGCACGGTGGGATAGATGTCTGTGATAGCGAGCGGAAAACCACCCCATGAATACTCTTGAGTTCTTTCGGTAAAGTCACGTAGGTAAAAATAAATAGAAAAAAAACTAAATAAAATCACGACGTTTCGATTGCAACACAAGCAATCATCATCAGGTGTGAAAATCACAGCTAGAATTTTTTTTACTAAAGTGGGAGAAATGCCGGGGCTATGGATCCTTGCAGTCACGAAAACTTCAAATCTAGAATGAACCACCCCATGAAGTTCTGCACGGAATTCGATGTCGGCGGCTCGCGTGGCCACAAACGCCACAACGCCCGGGTCGCCAATTTTTGTTTTGCCGAGGCGCTCATGGGGTGTTGGGTTTCTCATTCTTCTCCACACCGCACCGAGGTAACGCGTTCATGGCTCCCCAGTAGATCTTAGCGGAGGGGGGAGGGTCCCAGGAACTGCTTCAGATCATCGTCCCGCGAGCGTGGGGAGTCGAACTCGGGACGCCGGGTTCGGAGCGCTAACCGCTAACATCACGCACTATTATTACACTGGTCAACAACAACAAAAAAACATTTTTTTCTGGCCTGGACTTTTGCAGCTGTTCTAGACTAATTTCAGGGTGCCGATTCCAAATCTGATCTCAGATTTGCTCTATCACATCTCATTTTTATGCTATCGGCATACCCCATTTTCATTGATTTTACCCGAAATTAACTCTGTCACTTATGATTGCAAGTTGTTGCGAGTCAGTGACTGCTTTAGTGTTAAAATATGGTGCTGTATTTTTAGGATAGTATGCTTATAATATCATTTATGTAGATATCCACATTTATTGAATATTTTTCTTCTGCAGTTTTTATTGAAAATGTAATATTTTATATCTCAAAAACCTGATGTGATAGACAAAAACTGATGCCAGATTTGGAATCAGCACCCCAAAATTACCTTAAAACCGTTGGAATACCTTATGCCAGAAAAAGTGTGTTGACAAGTGTTATTATTATTTTGGATGGCAGGGTGGGTTGGTGGCACACAGGGTAACACTCGTTACCCCTCGCAGCCAGAGAGGGACCTCGGTTTCATTCCAGACCTGGGCTGTTTTTGTCCGTGTGAATTTGAAACTAATTACGTGGCGCTGCTGCTGCTGCTGCTCCTAATGTCTATTTATACTTCATCACCCTCAATCCCGCTGTCGGGCGAACTGCTTTGTGTGTGTCTAGTTTGTTATCCCCCCCCCCCAACCCTGCAACTCCGATTAGCACGGTTGTCTACGTACGGTGCGAAATAAGTTCAACATACATACAACACTGACCATAGACTCAACACTGCCCCATAGACTCAACACTGCCCCATAGACTCAACACTGCCCCATAGACTCAACACTGCACCATAGACTCAACACTGCACCATAGACTCATCACTGGCCATGGACTCAACACTGCCCATGGACTCAACACTGCCCATAGACTCAGCATTGCACCATAACCGCCATGCCACCGTTCCCCGCACAAAGACAAAAGTTCCCCGTACAGCTTTAACAGACTGTTGGGGCAAGTGCTGTTAGCGAGCAGCACCTATGAAGGCCAGAACGGCACACGGTGGGGTGGGTAGCCAGCAACATGCCCGGCCGCCTTTGTCTCCCTAGTGGCTATGATATTTTACACACCGCGCCAGGTACTCATTTTAGGCTGAGTCGACCACTCACTCACCCACGCACATACACAGGCACTATTGTCACCCTATCACCAACTCAGCCACACACACTCACTCACCCACATACTCACTCACTCACGCACTCACTGACTCACTCACCCACACACTCACTCACGCACTCACTGACTCACTCACCCACTCGCTCACTCACTCACCCACAAACTCACTCACCAAGTCACTCACCCACTCACTCACCCACCCACCCACCCACTCACCCACTCACTCACTCACCCACTCACTCATCTACTCACTCACACCACCCACTCACTAACTCACTCACCCACTCATCTACTCACTCACACCACCCACTCACTAACCTACTCACTCACCTACTCACCCACACAAAGACAAAGATTCCCGTATAGCCTTAATAGACTGTTGGGGTAAGTGCTGTTAGCGAGTAGCAGCAGCACCAATGAAGGCCGGCACGGCACACGAGAGGGTGGTAGGCCATCTACACACACGCATATCCACACACACACAGTACTTACATTTAACTGTTCCCTAGTGACGATCTCTTGAATAGGCAACATTTTCCAATTTGTCGTTTAAATCTGGTAGAAAAAAAGCGCTTGGAAAGACATTGATAGGGGGCGTGTGTGCGTCTGTGTCTGTCCGTGTGTATCCCGATGTGTCTGTGTGTGTGTACGTGTCTGCAGACCTGTGTGCATACCTAAGTGTGTATGTCTGTGTGTATACGTACGTCAGTGTGCTCATGTGTATCAGTTTGTGTGTGTGTGTGTTTGGGTGTGCCAGTGTGTATGTCTGTACACTTGCGCCTATCCGTGTGTCGATGTCTCCGATGTCTGTGTGTCCCCGTGTCGCTGTATCTCCTCGGTGTCTCCGTGTCTCCCGGTGTCTCTGTGTCAATCTGCGTCTCCGATATCTCCGTATCTCCGTGTCTCCCGGTGTCTCTCTATGTCCCTGTGTCTCCTTGTTTCTCCGTGTGGCGAGGTGTCTCCGTGTCTCTGTGTCTATCTGCGTCTCCGGTGTATCCGTGTCTTTGTGTTGCCCGGTGTCTCTCTGCGTCTCCGTGTCTCCGGATCACCCTATCTGTCTCCCGGTGTCTCTATGTCTCTGTGTTCCTTTGTTTCTCCGTGTCGCAAGGTGTCTCTGTGTCTCTCTGTGTCTCTGTCTCCGTGTCTCCCGGTGTCTCTATGTCTCTGTGTCCCCTTGTTTCTCCGTATCGCCCGGTGTCTCTGTGTCCCTCTGCGCCTCCGGTGTGTCCGCGTGTCCCCACGTCTGGATAAACAAGGCTGGAGTTTGCTTCTCGACAGAGAAATCAGACCACGGCAACTTCCTTCCTTCCGCTCTACATCAGCAATTCACAAAGACAAAGATCCCCCGTGTAGCCTGTAACAGACCGATTTAGGAGTGCTGGTGGTAGTAAGTTTGCTGTTTGTCGCAGCAGTAGCGAGTCAGCAACACCTACTGAAGGCTGGAACGGTGGTGACACACAACGAGGTGTTGGTGGGTGGGTGTGGGATATCATCAGCACCAACTCGCCAACGCTGTGGGGTTCTTAATCTTTACGCATGCAGCCTTGCACCCCCCCCCCCTGCCTGCTTTGATTCTCAATGGTCAAAAATCAATGGACAATGTGAACAAACGCATGGGGTTCATCTTCTTGGTTCTTTCGGTAAAGTCACGTAGAAGGGAAATAATAAAATAATAAAAATAAAACATTAAATAATTCTCACGACGTTTCGGCCACAACGCAAGCAGCCGTCCTCAGGTGAAGAACAGGTCTGTCGAAAAGTCTTTGTGGCCGAAACGTCGTGAGAATTGTATTTTATTATGTTTAATTTTTATTATTTTATTATTTCTCTTCTACGTGACTTTACCGAAAGAACCAAGAAGATGAATCCCTGCAGTCACGAAAGCTTTAAATCGACATTTAAACGCATGGGGTTTGATGAAACAGAGGAAGTTGTTTAACACGTAGCAGGGCTTTCACGACCGATGTTATCCATAATAGCGGTTTTTTGGGTTAGATCGCGTAAATATAAACGTACGCCTTTTGGCGTCCTCTGGTCTAACGCCGTTTTGAGACGAGGCTCAAAAGAAAGCCGTCTCTCGTGTGGACCAATCAGTTTCAAGGACAATGCATATATTATCAGAGTGTGTTTTTTGTTTGCATTTTGACCACAAGTATTGTGGTTGATGTCGACATGATTCCTTGTAAAAAGGTTTCAGTTTTGTTGCCAGAAAAAAGGGGAAAACCCTATTATTATATTTTGGTACTGGCAAAGGAGGTCTAATGATGTAGATGTTCACCCCGAGCCCTCATTACTTTGATAGTGCATTGTCTTTGAGCTGTACGCCTTTTGGCGTCCTCTGGTCTAGCACCATTTGAGACAAGACTCAAAAGAAAGCCGTCTCTGGTGTGGACCAATCAGTTTCAATGACAATGCATATATTATCAGAGTGTGCTATTTGTTTGCATTCTGACCACAAGTATTGTGGTTAATGCAGACATGATTCCTTGTAAATAGGTTTCAGTTTGGTGTTTTAACATCTTATCACAACTGTTTTGTTGCCAGCAAAAAGAGGAAAACCTATTGTCAAGCATAAATGTGTCGTTAAACCCGCCACCACCCGTAAGATTGTGTCACGTAAACAGAACATGCCGATGCTAAATGTAATTACTGGCGAAACGTCGCACTCAGATTGTAAATGTCGTGGATTTGCTCTCCAACAGACAACCAGCTCGTGCTGTGCTCCCGTAGTGCAACTACTCTGTAGACGTTAACTGCAGAGGCTTCTCCTTTATTAACCTCACACTCACACGACGACAACTCGGCAGCACGGAATACAACGCTGACAGTCTAGCTCAGGGGTCGGCAACCTACGGCTCCGGAGCCGCATGCGGCTCTTTACGGGCTGCTTCTTGACGATGAGTAAGTATGTACTCAGATGCATTGCGGCTCTTGAAATACTGAATTTTGTACCGAATTGGAAAGAAATGGCTCTTCTTGTTATTTTGGTTGCCGACCCCTGGTCTAGCTCGACGGCGCCGACTTGACTAGATCGCTGGCTGACTATCTAGCGACGACAACGACGACGAAGCGATGACAAAGACGACAGCCACGACGACCAGGACTCCGACCCCCCACGACAGCCCAGACCCTGTCCGTCGCTCCCTTATATCCTCCCAGCGTAGGCGTGGCTCCGTCCTGGCCACGCCCACTTTCTCGAACTCTCCAGCTGGTTCAGGGACCTCCCAGATGGATCTCCTCTCTGTCCCAGGGACGTGCGGTCAGGGGAGGCAGGGGAGGCAGAGCCTCACCTGTCATGCACCAATGAAAATAGCTGTTACGAAAAGTAAAAAACTAATGAAATAAAATAAATAGTAAGATTTTTCCACTGATCTGTGTTATAAATGTCATTTCTGTACGATTCCAATCATTTTCATAGTCAAAATCGCCAAATTTGCGGAGCTCCGCTGCAAATACAGGAAGAGACGAGAGGTGAGGCAGTGACGAGCTCAGCCTCCCCTCTGATTGCGCAACCCCTCAGTAACTGGATGGAGCGCGGGCAATAAGCGCGTGCCTGTTACTATCTCAGTATGTCACCAATGTAAAGTTTGTAGACCCCTTCATTTCATGTCCTCGCCTTCCATACTCCAGCTAACCTACTTCACGTGCGTGTATAAAGATATTTAGGCTCGCTGGTCTCGTCATGAAACTGCAATGAAAAAGCACCAGGGGAGGCAGTTTACACATCTACCTCACTGAGGGTGACGTGTATAACACGCCCCCCTCAGTGAGGACACGCCCCCTCAGTGTGTGAATCTGGCTCTGACACGAGCCAGTGCCTCCCCAGCCATTGACCTCACCGCATGTCACTGCTCTGACCCTTGGCCCAGATATCCCCCCTTGTGGTCGCTCTACCGCAGAAGTCGCAAACGGGTTTTTATTCCTTACCCGTACCCGGCCGCACCAGGGTCGCAAATGGGTACCCGTACCCGTACCCGGCTGTACCCGTACCCTACCCGTACCCGGCCGGGTATCGGGTACCCGATTGCGACCTCTGGGATGAAGCCATGTTGCAGGCGCGGGTGGGTTGATTCTAGGAACTTGAATTGTGAGAAGAGACAAGACGTTGGGAAATGAGTGACAAACGGTTACTCACCAGTGACTCACGGCCTACCCGTACCCGGCCGCACCAGGGTCGCAAACGGGTACCCGTACCCGGCCAGGTACGGGTAGCCGGGTATCGGGCAGGGTACGGGTATCGGTTACCCGGTTGCGACCTCTGCTCTACCGTGTACAGATAGTCCCCGAGTTACGATGGTCCGACTTACGATATTTCGATCTTACGATGGCGATAGCGATATGACAAAATTGTAAAATATTTTAAATTTTGCGCGGCAGGCAAACGCAGCAGCGTACGAGGTACGATACTGTACGTTGGGACGCTGTCGGGATATACTGTACGCATCTCCCGCCTTGTGCGATACGTAGCTTTAGCGATTTCATTTTAGGGTTACCACGATACGTTCAATGCATGTTAAAAGTTTTTATAGCAGATAGGATTGTTTCCTGAAAAAAACTTTCTATTAAATTGCAGTTCATATAGGTAGGCTAAGAATTAACATTTTTTTTCCTTTACATTTTACTGTGCAATACAGTATTGTAATTAATAAATACATACAGTATATAGTTTATCCAGTACGGTACTGTAAATTGCTGTTTTGCTAAATTATCACCATTCTTTAAGACTCCTGGGTAGGCTAGGCCATCTTCGACTTACGATATTTTCGACTTACGATGGGGGCCGTCGTAACGCATCTCCTTCGTAAGTAGAGGACTGCCTGTATCTGTCTTTCTTTCTGCCAATGCTGTTCTCACACCCGCAGTTACCACTTCTGGCCGCTAGTCAGAGCACTGTCTCTCCACGAGCAACGAATTGGCGCGTCACCTGCTCTACCCTCCTCCTGGCGTTAGGGGGCGCTATGCCAGAGAGTGCAATACAGGATGCTTCAATGTTCAAGGTGTCTGCAATGTGATTGTGGTGAACAAAAATAAAACAAATTCAATTTCGATTTAAAACTTTCGTGACTGCAGGGATTGATGCTGCTAATCCTGCATAATACACGGGCATAATATTACTTTGAAACCCCCCGGCCACCTCCTACGCATTTCATAAATATGTAAATTCATCTTGATATGCAAATTATTTTGTCAAGGCGCTCTTCCCCCTCCAACCCAGCAGCTTAAATATACGCTGCCAAGCCTGGGGTGTTTCATTCAGACGCTGTCTTCCCGACAGACCTGTTCTTCACCTGAGGACGGCTGCTTGCGTTGTGGCCGAAACGTCGTGAGAATTATTTTATTATGTTTTATTTTTGTTATTTTATTATTTCCCTTCAACGTGACTTTACCGAAAGAACCAAGAAAAAAAAACAAATTCACTCTGGAATGTAACTCGGTGAACATTTACCAGAGTTTTAAACTCAGGTCTGTTTGCGTGTACGGGACGGCGAGTCCTCGTTTAGCGCGGTAGTAGCGGTAGTAGATGCGTTCCTGACAAGTTGAGCGAAAACTATTTTCCCCGTAAGTAAGGGAGTAGCGATAAAGCTTGTCGAGGTACGGTGTCAATACTCCTACGCACAAGATGTGGTGAGATGGCGGGGACAGGTAAATAAGGGGTTACCGTATCGCTCTGCGTTACCGATTCACCGTTACCGCATTATAACGGAGCATGTTCTGCGTTATAATGGTGCACCTTCTGCATTATACCGGTGCGCGTTCCGCGTTATAACTGTACACATTTCACGTTCATCTTCTCGGTTCTTTCGGTAAAGTCACGTAGAAGGGAAATAATAAAATAACAAAAATAAAACATAATAAAATTATTCTCACGACGTTTCGGCCACAACGCAAGCAGCCGTCCTCAGGTGAAAACCAGGTCCGTCGAGGCGACAGAGTCTGAATGAAAAAGCACACGAGCTTGGAGCATATATATATAAGCTGTACACATTTCAAGTTATAACTGTACACGTTCAGCGTTATAACTATGCACGTTTAGTGTTGTGCAAAAAGTGTTCCCTAATAGAAGGACCGCGCCTTATAGCGACGACGCTTTATCGCGTGAATGCGTTAAGCGAGGGCTTATTACCCCCCCCCCCCCCACACACACGAGCAAGCCGTGTTAAACTGTTACCAATCTTATGAACACAACAATTTTAAAACAATAACAGATTAATGGCACAGTCAGCGTTAACACAAGCCCTGGGAAAACCTAATGACGGTTGAGT